TCCAATATTTTGAAGTAAAATACTGAAGTCAACAGAATACCAAGTGATTATTTTTGTGAACCATTTTAATTATTAATAATAATAATTAATAATAATAATAGCGTTAAATAGTGTTAAGTGTTATTTCAAAATTTAATTAAAAATGTTATAATTATGGACAATCAAGTACCAATAAGAAAAGGTAACTTTCCAGATTCTAACCATTCTGCCAATTAATCTTGAATTGAAAAGAAAAGCAATGGTCAGAAAAAATCATTATAGTTTCACTTTGGAAACCGAAAATGAAGTGCATCATGAATAGTAACTACTCAAGCATGCATTTGATAGGCTTGAAACGTTTTTTGATATAGCCAATTGATACGGGAAAAAGAATAAATTAAATCTAAGAATATCGGAAAATTTATTATAATATTAAATAATAATTTAACATTTATTATTATAATGAATCATATATAACATTTCAAAATTATGTATTTAGTTCTTATGTTTTATTATATTCGATTTGTAATAAATATTTTTTAGTTTATTGCGAATTTTCAATAATTAAATATTAATGATATTATATAAAATTAATTTCATGAAATAAATTTATTTAATAAAGTGTTATATAAATATTTAATACATTATATTATACCATTAATTTATATAAAATGATATTAACTTATTCTTGTTTATAAAATTATTGTAACTTTTTTTCCGGTTTATAAGCATGTTGAATTCGTGTGTCAATTATTAAAATATATGTAATTTACTATTATTGATATAAATAATTTTATAAATAGTTTAATTTATTACATTTATAAAATTATTTGTAATTTATTCACCTTTATAAAATTAATTATAAATTATTTAATTTATTAAAATGATTGTATCAATAATTTTTTATTTTATCATAAATTTTTATGATTATCATTTATCATTAAATTTTCATGATTACCATTTAATATTTTTTTATCATGATTACAATTATAAAGTTAATTTGAAAAGATTATGATATATTTTAGTTATTTCATAAACTTAAAAAAATTATCAAATCTCAATTGATTTTTTTTGTTTTATTAACCTTTTTATAGAAATTGAAATAATTTATTTTAGGTCAAATAAGGATCTAAATAATTACAAAATAATATTTATTCTTACATTTATAGAATGATAAATTAAATATTTAAGATAAACATTAGAGTTCTTATTTACTTTATCTTTTATATATTTATAATATACTTTTTTTTGTTAATTTTATTAACAATATATTTATAGTTAACAATACATCCTTTAAACTACGTTATTTTTTTCAAGAATATAAATGTAACCTTTCAAAAAATATACACAAATATATTTAGAAGTCGGTAGAAAATTTTATTGGTTAAATTATAATTCCATTCAAAATTTATTGATCATAAATTTTTGAAATCAAATCATGCATAAAAATAAAATGTTTTAATGTGACCATTCAAAATATTTTCTATATATAATAAAAATAAATAATATTAATACCTCCATTCAAAAGATATATTTGTAAAGTTTTGATTTAATTTTTTTCATATCTTTATATATTCTAATGTATATAATATTCCTACAATATGAAACAGTATCAAACCTATAATATTAAAAGAGAATTCAAATTTTATTGATCATAATATTTTATGGAATCAAATCATATATAAAAATTAAATATATTTATGTCACCATTCAAAATAATTTCCATATAAGTATAATAAAAATAAATGATAATAATGTCTCCATTCAAAAGATATATTGGTAAAGTATCGAATTAAATGGTACTCCAATATTTGATTAAAAAATTGTAATATTTGTTTTTAATATTGTATAAAAATATATTAATTAGTCGTACTTTAAAAAAATAAATCATAAATATTTTATTAAAAATTGTAATATTTGTTTCTAAAATTATAGCAATTAAAAATAAAAAAATATCAATACAAAATAAAAATTTTATTCAAATTTCACGACAAATGAGAATTATAATTTCGATTCAAAATAAATTAGAATTTTGAAGGCACATCAACACCAACTTGTAGGTTATTATCTTCTCTTTAGGAGAAGAGAAGGAGAAGAGAAATTCGGCAATGCTACATTCAAAAGAACTCAGAATTTGGTGTAAAATAAATTCCATTAAAACATAGGCCAACATAATTTGCAGTAGAAAAATATATTACGCCAAAACCAATGTTGATATGACAAACAAAATATGAAAGCAATAATGATATACATATACATAATTTGAATCAAATCTTGTTAAAAACATTCTTCTATAGAACCAGAAAATGATCGCATATCAACGTTGGTTTTATCATCTTATACATCTTAGATAATTATTGCCTTGCTTATGGTTCTTCTGAAATTGGTAGTGAACTTCAGCAACACCCGCTACTCTTGAACCCTTAAAAACATATTACTTTAGAACTTCGGGTGAATAAGAGTCTCATCCCTTTGACTATCCTCATGTTCATCAAAATCTCGTTCCTCTTCCAAAAACAGTTCCTCCAAACATTGCAATGAGACATTTGCATTTGCTATCTGTCAGAAAATACAATTAGTATATAATCAGTACCTGCCAATGAAAGCTATTGATATTCCTTGTGGAAGCATAAAATTCAATGGTTTCAATTTCCTAATCTTCAATTACGGCTGTAGATGGAAATCAAATGCTCGGGAAATCAAATCATCTGCACCATATTGAACATATATTTACTATTATAAGGTTAACTATCAAATAACTTGAATGAAAATATAAGTTAACACTTGGCTTTGATGATGAATCCCATGTGAAAATCAACTCGATTAAGTAGATTTAAAATAGTGGTCTCTGGTTCTGTTGTGGCAGTCTCCAATTCTTCTTTAGCAATATTTTTGTTCGTGAAATTAGAGAAGCAAATGGTCACTCAGCTATGACCATGGTGAATATTGGCACTTAAAATGCTAAGACAACTCTGCAAACAATAATATTATAAAGCATTAAAACTAAAAACAAACTGTTTATTTCTTGGGCATGATAAAAAGCCACGCCATAAACTTCAGGCCAATTTGAATTCATGGGAGAAGGCCGGTGACAGCCCTGTCCATCATTGCACACAGTGAGTTTAGGAAGATCATTGGTGCAACAGATGTCTTGTTGACCCCCATAAGCCGAACCACTAATCCTCTCTCTATCTTCAACCTCGAAAACAGATGCTTGAATCGACCATGAGGTAAAGTTTGATAATTCCTTGTTAAGACAGATTGTGACTATATTAAACCTGTTTTCACATGACAAAATCAAATCGCAATCAGCATAATTCCATTTTACGTATCAATGTATAAAAATTAAACTGTGACACAATCCGTTATTCAATTTGTTGATTGGTCCCCTATTGATTCAAGTGTGAAATCAATTATCAGCCTCCATATCCATACATATTCCAAAAGAAGAGCCGATTAAATCAAGAAAATAAATACAAAAATCTCAATTAGATACAAATAAATATAATAGTAAGTAAAATAAACAACAAAATTGATGAGAATATACTGCCTTCTTTTATCAAACATGTGATGGGAGAAATTGAAATTGAAATAGATTAATAATAAATTGAAAGAGGAAGCAAAAGAAATAAGCTTCTATCTATTTGGAGAATCAATCGTAAATATATATGTGTGAGCTTTGTATTCACCAAGACTAAACAAATAAAAAAAAGCCAAAACTCAACCTCATATTTTAATTAAAAAAATTAAAAAAATTGAGAAATAAAATATGAATAAAAAAAACATACCTAACAGCAAAAAATAAACAATATCATGGTTGTGTTGTTCGTCACATGCAAGCTCAAAAATCCCCTTCTGCAACTCTCAAACCTAAAGATAAAGATATCCCATTTTAGGTGTCAAGTTAAGTTTTTTTTTTGGAAAAGGAGAAATAGTAAGACAACCCTGAAAACGAAAAGAATACAACATAAAATATGATATTCCAAACTACATTTCAGTTTCAACTTTCAATCACATGTTTCAATCACTCACCTTCGTCACTTACATATGTATGAATCAAATTAACATTAAAAATTGCATTTGAAGGAAATTCTTTTATAGATCTATAACGGGTGTTGTTGGTTATTGATGTTGTTGAGATTCAGAGGTCTTGGTTGCGACCACCATTCTTACGCTTGAACGTCTGAAACAAATAAATTAACAGGTTAGGATGAGAATATTAGATGGTTGAGATTACAACGAAACGAAATTGGTAGCAACAAAGAGAGAAGAATGAAAAGAGATGGAGCGGCGCAGGAAGAAGATGAAATTAGGTTTTCTGATTTGTGTTTTAGTAGAGTTGGGTGAATGAACTATTTGTTGCATCTTGGGAAAATGATTTCTTTGGTTGTATAGATTTACCGTTTCAAGAACTCAACATTTATGATGGTTGTTCATCTTGTGCTGCCAATTTAAATCTTGCAACAAAAAACGTGATTAGGGTTTAGTGGAATAATTAGAATTTCAAAACCCAGTGTACGTAGCAGCTATAATATGAGTGTTTTAATTTAAATTTCAAATTGAATGACCTTTGGTTTGGATGAGGGTTTTGGGAAGTGGTATGTAGCACATAATTAGGTGTGATTATAACGTGTAAATATAAACAAAATGGCATAATTGTTGTTAGTTAGAAATAATTAAAAAAAAAGTAAAAAGAGGCAGAAAAAACCATAGTGTGACACATCAGCCATATTTATTGTCAAATTAATATGGTGCAAGTATTTCAGAAAGTTACAAATATACCCTTAGATTAAGACTAAATTGAAATTTACTAATTAGTGTATTATGGTAAGTTAATGGTACTTTGGTTTTTATATATTTATAATAGACTATCTATAATATAAGAAAAGTTTATGATTCCTCTACACTGGCTTTGCATTTGACACATGGCTTCCTTACAAGCCAGAATTCTGTTTGCCACACAACCTTATTTTTCTTCAAATATTTATCCTGATATTGTCTTTCTTTTCGTTCTCCAAAACATGTCGGTTACAAAACTTCAATTCCAACCCTTCTACTTTCCTCATCTTTTCTATTTCGTTGGCGGTTATGAAATTCAATTCATGGTTTCAGAATGGTTTCTCAATTGTTTTCCTAAATCCTCCTTCCTTTATTGTTTGGGGTTTTCCAACTTCCAATCTTCTCCATGTTCATCGGCGATTTCAGATGACAAGGATGTCACGGTTTCACAAAACACTTTCTATTCCATATTCCATATACGAAAACGGTTTCGATATCCATTACTCTCTTCTTATTCTGATGCCTCTCTCTTTTTCTTCTTCGTCATTTCAATTCAATTTAATCATTTTGGTTTTAGGATTTGAAGCTCTGTGAAACTATCATCGGCGATTTAAGTGGTAGATCTATAGCCAACGACAAAAGAAATTAGGGTTTTAGGGTACCCACCTTTTTGCTTTTCTATAGATCTTTGCTTATTCGAAATATGTTAACACAATTAATTTATTTGCTCTTGCAAATTTTAAATTTAAGCTTAGTTTTGATATTTTAACTTAAGATGTCAATTTACTTATTATTTTATTTGTTTGTACACAATGCTCTGTAGCAGACACACTCACACACTAATGGCTTATAAATTTTTAGCATCATAACTCTGTTTTATCTTGCAGTGTTATTGTACCCTCGAGTTCGATGGTGTATCCATTGGAAATCCTGGAAAATCTGGTGCAGGAGCTGTACTGCGTTCTGGGAATGAGGTGTATACGTTATGTATCGATTCATATTTGTAATTATATAATATAAATTATGTATCAAATATAGATAACTCTTGGATTTCTTTAAAGGTCCAACACTTCAGTAGAGGACTGGACACTCAAACAAATAATTCTACTGAGTATTAAGGTTTAATTTTGGGATTGAAAGAAGCCAGTAACAAAGGGTATGATCATGTTGAAATCTGAGGTGATTCCAAGCTTGTTTGCGAGAAGGTTAGTTTCCTTTTTATAAGGAATTTACCATAATATTTGATTTGTTTTGTAATCGTTTGCGGGTAATTGGAAAGTCAACAACCCTAATTTAAGGGACATGCGTAATGAGGCTTTGTACTTGAAAGATAGCTTCAAGTTAGTCAGTGTTCAACATGTTCCTAGGGTATACCATTTGCTCTATTTTGTTTATTGACACAATGAAAGAATGTTTGTCAAATTGCCATCTTTCTTAATTGAGTTTTGATCTATGGCACCACTGTCATTAGTACTGTATATTTTCCCTCATTATATGGTAGTTTTAACAAATGCCTTTCTTTTTTTAAATGTTTTAAGGGTTCTAACAAAGAAGCTAATGCTCAAGCAAGTTGGGGGAAAATCTTGAAGGTTAGACTTCAAATCTTTTGAGTTCTTAACTATTTGGCTTCCCAATTACTCTTGTGGAATCTTGGTACATCTTGTTTTTATTATATATTTTATCTGTTTAAGAAAAATGAATTACCAATGAATTGAAACTGAAAATGATCACCAATTAATAGAATCATTTACTTTCACATTTGTATTTGGAAGGACCACAAATTTTAATGGATCTTATATTTTTGCAGCTGACCAAGTTCAAGAAGACTATTACTACTATTGATCATCTGTGACAGCACGCCACTGTCAGAAACTGTTGGCAACTATGTTACTTTTATTGGAAGCGCATGTGAAAGTGCATGTTAGTGCTAAGTATTTCGTTCAAATTTGTTCATACATTTGTCACATTTGGTAATATATCAATTTTTTTCAAATTTTAGAAGATCGATTTGGTTTTTATGTTCACTCATTTTTTGTTCATCGGCCAATGTTGACGTGTCTTACCAATGTTCACTATTTTTTTGTTCATACTTTTGTCACATCTGCCCTTTTTTAGGAAAAATCATGATAGAACTTGCGGTCAACTAAATTAATACTTACAGTTTCGACTGGTAGCTGCATTTTTTCGTGCCCCTGATGACTATTTATAAATATTTGATAAGAATGTTGAATCTATGTGGAAGAGTTCACTTTCTTTTGCACAAAACAAGCGGGTTTCTTGGATACTAGCTTTGACATGATAAGTGGTATTGTAGTACATTGACAAATCTTTTCTATAATAAGATTTGTTGGTTTTGGGGAGAGATTGCACCGGGATTTTGCCAGGGATCTCTCCCTCGTGTGGTGTTTTTTGCAACTAGTTTTAAATACAGAGTCTTCACCCTTAATTTTTATCCTAAGGAAGGGAATATAAAGGAATAACCCTAAAAAAATTCATAGATTCTAGATTGGACTCAGTTCTAGACGAAGGGAAGGTGTTAGACACCCCTCATCTACCTTGTTCACAAGGATACTAGGTTTAGAAGATTTTTAGGAAATGGGGTTTTTATTGTTTTATTTGGGGAAAAGGGTTTAAATTTTAATTAGGGGGACTCACCATGATTTTAATCGTATGCCTACGTATCCTCTTATGAGGAATCAGAGTCTCAATTCGTAGTTCGCAGTTGTTTGGTTAGTATTTTTTATGGGTCGTAGAATAACCTCGAATTCTCCTTAAACCAAGTCTAGGTTTGTAAATTGCAGAATCATGGACATAGCTCGCAGTCGATAAAATATGTTAATACAACCCTTTTTGAAAATAAATATAAATTTTATTATGAAAAATGTTAGTGTTTATTGGTTAGCTATTTTAAAATATACAATGCAATTATGAAAATAAATTAATTTGAATAGAAAAATATTTGATGCAAATATGTTAGTATTCTTTAAAAAAAAGAGCTTAAATAAATATATAATAAGTTTATTAAAGCATACTAGATATTTTTGATAAAAATATTATAATTATTTACTAGTGTAAAAATAAGGTCTTCATTGAGGGTAGCTCCGGTGAGGGTGATGACACAAGGTTTCATGAAAGAGGGATTTAGATTTTTCTCTGCATTTTTCGGTTCCCCCTCTGTAACAACTCTCTTCCCCCTGTAACAATTTGTTTCAGTATTCTGTCAATTCCCTCCCCGTCTGTAATAATTTCTTTGCCTCTGTAAACTGTAATCTTCTTTGTTCTATAAATTCTATCCCCCTCTCTACTGTCCTTAGTTGTTAGGTTTTATAGCAATTTTTAGGATTAGATTTAGGAAATAATATTATTCTGTTATAATCAGTTTGACTTTGTATTGATTAAAACCATGAATGCCAATATTATTTGTTTCTGTTTTGAGCTCTGTTTCCGTATCCGGTTTTGCTTTTGTGTTAATCCAAGATTTGTTTCTGCTTTAGTTCAAGACTTTTCTGGAAAGGGTTTGAATACAAGATCTGATTCTGCTTCTATGATTGATTCGCACAGTAGGTGTTTGCGACTTGGGCCATGCTTTTTATTTGGACTGGGTCGGACTTGTTCTTTGGATTTGGGCTTTGGACCGGTAACAAGGACCACACGATGGTCCCACATTAATCAAGCATTGTTTCTTCAAATTTTAATAAAACAACTTGTTTAGTTTTATAAAATAATGGCCTCTAAGATATCATGTAATGTTAACGGATGATAATGTTTAGTAAGTAAAAAGAAAGGGAAAAAATGCAATTTCTTACAAACAAAAACTGCAACGGGCTTTCAAAAAAAATGCAATATGGGCCTCTAAAAAAACTTGTAATGGGCCAGGAGGCTAAAAATGGTCTTTCTGATTTTAGAAAGCCCACCAGCATTTAATTAAAATACAAACCCATATATAACAATGCACCTCCTTTTTTAACTTGAAATGAACTCTTTTAAAAACCTAATGGGTCATCAGATGTTAATGGTCCATTTTGGATCATTACACCCCTCTTTGATTTTAAACACCCTCCTACAATATGATTTATTTAAATAGAATCCTAAATAAGGGTAGGAAAATTTGGGGTATGACGGCTACCCCTATTTAATCATCTTTCGATTGAATAATACAAGAATACGCAGGTCTCGCACGTTTAATCAGAAGTTTAAATATTAGAAGACCCCAAGATTTTTTTGAGAGATTATAAGGATACGTTGTACAACATTCCCATGAGTATGAAGAATAGGCATAAATGATTATGTATCATCTTGCCGGAGTTTGAACCAAAGTTGGTTTAATTTAGACATGATGATGTGGATGACTCGTCGGTATCTAATAGAGATTGTAGAATTTTGCATATTTACCATAACCTAGAAGGTAAATGATACAAGTTTGAAAAGCCGACTTACTAATGCTAGGGGACTAATATAGTGAGTTTGTTATGCGGATTCTGTACATTCATCTCAACCTAGGGGATGAATAACATAAAGCTTGATAACACATTGTTGCTTAGAGACTAATGCAATGAGCCAGAGATTTTTTGTGTACCTATCACAACCAAAAGGATAGATAATAGAAGTTTGAAACTAGATATTTGGAACTTAGAAAGACGATGTTGGTTGTGTCAGCCCTCAACCACGACTTGATAACCAAATGAAATATGCTAGATCTGAAGCGATGGAACCTAAATTCACTTATGACTTCGATTGTGTCATCCCTCAACCACGACTATCAATATGAAGAAAATAAACCCTAAATTCATCAATGATATCGGTTATGTCATCCCTCAATCATGACTATCAACATGAAGAAAATAAACCCCAAGTTCATCGATAATGTCAGTTTGTCAGCCCTCAACCATGACTATCAACATGAAGAAAATAAACCCCAAATTCATTGATGATGTCGGTTGTGTCAGCCCTCAACCATGACTGTTAACATGATCAAAATAAACCCCAAATTCATTAATGATGTGGGTTGTGTCAGCCCTTAACCATGACTATTAACATGATCAAAATAACCCCAAGTTCATCGATGATGTCGGTTGTGTCAGCCCTCAACCATGACTACACTACACCAAAATAGCTCTTAGGCAGCGCACTTTAGAAAACGCTTGTATATCAAAGTGCTGCTATATGTCACGATAAATTTTAAATTTTAAATTATACATATTAGACATCGCTTTGGAAAAAAGCGCTGCCTAAAGTGAAGAAAACGCGCTTCCTAAGCCTCACTTTAGGAAATACTTTATGAAAGCGCTGCCTAAGGTCAATTAAAATTGAAATAAAAAAATTTTTAGAAGCACTTCCTAAACTCAAAGCGTTGTTATAGGCCCAACAGTAGGAAGCGTTGTCATAGGCCCAAAGTGCTGCTAAAGGCTTACTTTAGAAAGCACTGTTATAGCCTTAAAATAAATTTGAGAAAAAGCGCTGCTAAAGGCCTACTTTAGAAAGGGCTTTTAAGAAGTGCTGCTTAAGGTCATACATATCCACAAAGCACTGCTAAAGGATGTGTTTAGAAAGTGCATCATATAAGTGTTGCTATATGGCATACATCAGAAAGCGCTTTTTAATGAGAAAGCGTTGTTAAAGGTAATACATCAGAAAGGGCTTTCTAAAAAGCGTTGCCTAAGGTCATTAATATCTTATTTCTAAATTAAAAAAACTAAAACCCTAAAACTCAAAGGTTTTCATTCTCAAAACAGATTTCTCTGTGACAATTCTCTAACAACGATTTTGAATGTTACTCAAAAAAAATTTGAACGTTTCTCTGTGTAATACGGTGGGAGAACTGACTTTACTGGTTTTGCATTTTATCGCAAAATGTTGCGGTTAGCAAGAGTCGCCACCGGCTTTTCTTTTATCAATTAAAGGAAAGGGTGAAAAGAACAGGAAAGACCTTTCGAGAACTTTTCTGAGTAAGGGGGTAGGTTATGAAAAGGGAAGGTGTTAGCACCCTTTTCATCTGTATTTATCTACGGGCTCTTAGTTGCTAGCTCACTTTTGAAAATGCTTTTTTTGTGTAAGTGTATTTTGAAAATATTTTGAAAAAATGTCTTAGTGCGGCAAACTTTGTAATGATTCTCGTATC